GATGAACACACATTATATTCTACACCAGCTTCATAAGTCAAAGGCTTTTTTTAAGCAAAAATGGTAACACCAACTTTAACAAAACACGACCAAAAAGAAGTAGCTATTTTTTTGGCTGAAGCCAAAAAGCTATTTTGACTCAAGGAGATTAAGTGAAGACAGACAAATTCAAGGTAAATCCAAGGGTGCCACTAGCAAAAGTCTGAGAAACAGTGTGTTAAACAGCGAGAAACATGCAAATAAAGCCTACCTTATCCACATAGCTCCTTTCACCCTCCAGCAGAGGCAAAATATTCTCTCCATTAGGGCACACATCTGGAATACTCTAAAGAGCTGTTGGCTGCTTCTCTTCCTGTTTATATAGTGCCAAGTGTTAGTTCCTCTCATTTTTAAGGCCTCTTAGTAAATATTTTGCAGAAAGAACAAAAAACTCCCGTCAGTCCCACAAATCAGAAAACCCAAATCAAAAAATAAATCACACAATAAGAAAAAGGCTAAAATGCTGAAAACAGTATAACACTAAAAACCTACTTATTAAGGGGTTCAGAGAGATTCTTCAATTCATTACTATCAAATCTCATCTGTTGGTGTCAAATTCGTAGCTCAAATAAAACTTTTGCACAAAAGGTAAGAACAAGAAAAGTAACAAGTAACACACAGAATGTGTCAGCATAAAGGACATATTAAAAAAGCTGAGAAGCTCTGGTACACTTCAGAATTATTAGAAAGGCCACCCACTAAACCAAATCATTAAACTAAATTACTAAGATCAACAGAAACAAGACACGTTTCTATGCTACATGCCAGCAGGGATAATAAAGCACATTTCTGCATAATAAAGGGCATGTTTGTTAGGATATTGTTTTCTCTTCCACAAAACATTTAATTCTCAAGGAGCTCCTCTCTACTGATAGCAGCTAAGAAATGTTATTTTTTTTCTCTGCCACTTACAGCTGCAAATATACAAAGCTAAATAAACCCAATTCCATTTAAAGTTATCACCTTCCTGGATTCTGCTAGGGAAATGCCTCTTACAGCACAAAACAGAGGCATTTCTTACAGGAGACTGCTGTAAAACTTAGGCACAAGTTAACTGATCTCAACACCAGAAAGCAGGTCATGAGCCAATGCTCTGTCACATAATTACAGATACAAGACTTAGTCTTCATAATACCTTGTAAGATAACTCTGAGTTATTATCCTCATATGACAAGGAAAGAGAGAAGTAGCATGACTTGCTTCGGTCAGGTGAGTCACAGCTGAGCTGGTAAATGAATTGACTGAACAGGGTAGTAACTTGGAAATTTCTTCACCACTCCCTACAGGAAAACAAACAAACAAAAAACCCCCAAACCAAACCAAAACACTCCCCACCAAAAAACCCCCAACTATCAAACAAACAAAAAACTTACCTCAAAAATCTTTAGTTGTTTGTAATTTAACACCAGCCTTTTCCTTTACCTGCTTTTAAAGGTAAACCACGTCTGCTACAACATAAAGAAAAGTCTCCATAGCAGAACTGCACAATTGTTAATCATTTGCTCTGTTGAAAGCACTTCATGCACTTTCCAATCTGGTTTTATACTAAGTTCACCTGGTCCCAAAAAGGCAAAACCATCAAGGGAATAGCCTCTTTTTTTCTTTTTTTTTTTTCCCCACCTGTAATAATAAATATATCTAAAAATTATCATCAAGTCTATCAAGTCTTGCTCTCTAACTACCTGAAAGGAGGTTGTAGCCAGGTGGGAGTTGGGCTCTTCTCCCAGGTAACAAGCAAGAGGCCAAGAGGAAATGGCCTCGAGTTGTGCAGGGGAAGTTTAGGTTGGATATTGGGAAAAATTTCTTCTTGGAAAAGGCGGTCAGGCAGTGGCACAGGCTGCCCAGGGAAGTGGTGGAATCACCATCCCTGGAAGTGTTCAAAAGGCGTGTGGATGTGGCAACTGGGACTGTGGCTTGGTGGTGAACACAGTGGTGCTGGTTCATGGTTGGACTTGGTCTTAGAAGTCTTTCCTAACCTTAGTAATTATACAATTCTATGATTCTAAGTAATTTCAGAGTTGAACCAGTTTGCAAGTTCAACCAATGATCTGGTTCAACTCCAGTGAGCCCTCACAATAGTTTTTAAGCATTTAAAATTGGCCCCCAAACTATAGCACCAAACTTATCCAGTCTAAGAGAGCAGGGAGCCCACTAGAACTGAACTCTTGCTTCTGAAGGGGAAAATTTGGTGCTCAGCAATGATTTGGGGATTTTTTTTTTAAGACACAACCAGGAACAACTCCTCAGTACTTTGTAACAAAAAACTAGCTTGATAGGAATAGAAATACTTCTTCAAGTGGTGGAGAGATATACAGAATCATCAAATCACTAAGGTTTGAAGAGACCTTTAAGATCATCCAATCCAACAGCCAGCCCAGCACCACTACAGCAATTTTTTTTTTCTAGTATCTAATCTGAATCTCCTTCGTCTCAGTTTAATGCCCTTTCCTCTGGTCCTTTCACTGCAGGCACGGTACGAGAGACCGGCCCGCATCTGGGACCCACCCACATGGCAGGGATAAGAGACTTCCCTAAGGTGACGTGGAAAAAGTACCAAAGCTGCTCCATCACGGCAGGGGCACAACGGCGTTACCGCGCTGTGGGCTCGCCCCCGAGGCGGTCGTCCGTGAGGAGAGAGCAGCAGCCCCCGGACTGCACGCAAGGCGGGGAGGACACTTCGCTTGGCGCCCTGACCCGCACGGCTGGGTGGCCACCTCAGTGGGGACACGTCCCCGGCTGCCCCCGCTCCGCTGCCCTGGAGCCGCTCCGGGACCCCCTGGTGCCTCAGCCCCGAGGGGCCGCGCGCGAGGGCGGGAGCTGCGGGACGGCCCCGCGCGAGGGCGGACGGACAGACGGGCCAGCCCGCCAATAAGGAGCGGGCAGGCCGGGAGAAAGGACCAATGGGAAGGCCAGGCGGGCGGGCAGGGGGCGGGACGTCCGGCGCGCGGGGCGGGGGTGGCGGTGCCGTGGCGGGTCCGGGCGGGCCCGCGGGGGGAGCGGAGCTGCTGCGGGAGCGGAGCCTCAGCCCGGCCCGGCCGCCGCCATGCCCGGCATCGACAAACTGCCCATTGAGGAGACGCTGGAGGACAGCCCGCAGGTGAGACGGGCGCGGCGGGGGCCGGATCGGGCCCGGCCCCTGCGTCCCGGGCCAAGCGCTGCTCCCCCGGCGCTGCCGGCCCCCGGCGAGCCCCGGACGGACGGACGAGCGCGGGGGACGGTCCCGGCGGCGCGGCGGGAGCGCTCCCGCACGGCCCGTACCTCCCCGTGCTCCCGCCCCGCGCAGGGGCTGCGGCCGCGGTCTGGGCTCGTCCTGCCCGTCCCGGCCGTGCCCCGCTGGTGTCCGGGGGTCGGGGGGCGATGGGCCGGTGATGGGCCGGGCACTGCGTGTGCTTCAGCATCGCGGGCAGGGCACAGCCCGCGCCGGCCCCCGGACCTCCCCGCCCCCGCCTTCGCGCTCGGCAGTGATTTTGGACACCTCGTGATGACAAAATCCCGTCTTCGCTTCTCAAGGCGATTTGTCTTATCTTTATCTTTCGCTAAAACCGCGTTAAGGTTTAATAAATCCGTATGAAAAGGAGCTGTTGGGTGAGGTTGTCGCGGCGGTGGTTTGTGCTGACAGTAGGGGGGAAGCACATGGAGCCCAAAGGCCTTTAGTTGCCCCGATCCTTCCCTGCCATTGCTGTGCCTGACCTTTGTCAGGGATGCCCCGTAGTGCGGTGGCATTTCTCTCTAAAGCAGGAAAGGCTTTATTCCATTGCACGGGTTCTCTCGCTGGCAGCAACAACAGCAAGTACTTGTAGTGCTCTTCTTAGATGTGGGGGAAAAAAGTTTACCGTGTGTTTTCTTTTATTGCAGCCTTTTAAATTAAGATCCTTGCTCTGATGCACAGTTTACATAGTGAGCAAGACGTCCTGTATTGTAACAGCATTTGTGTTGGTAGCTTTGATTCCTTGGCTATAGGAAGAAAAACTTTCACTTGCTTAATAGGGAATTTTAACTCTCTGAAATGACAGTCATTTTAATAATTCTAAACCAAGGGGAGAAACGACTTAAGAGAAGGCACTAGAAGGCCATGCAGAAAGGGAATGCTTTCTGAACAACAGTGCCCCAAATAGCTCAGGTACTACATGTGAGATGAGATCTGGCCTGTCATGGGGCCTCTGGCTAAACGTGGTGTCATCTAATGAAGAGGAAAAATTTTTGAAAGTGTTACAACAATGGTGATTAAAAAAAAAAATCTCATGAAGGTCCTTAGTATAAGGAAGTCAGAACTATTCATATTTATAGAAAATGCCAAATGTAAGATAAAGTTAGGATCATCTGAGGACATTTGGGAAGCATGTGCAAAAAAGGTTTCTTATTGGAATATAATTGTAAATTCTAGAGTCTTTTGAGGTTATTTGTGACACAGACTAGCAAAGCCTAATTCAGCCCAATGAGTTTGATGTGCTTAAACAACTGGATTTGCCAATATAATTTTCTATTTTAGGTGAATTCTGGCAACCATGTCTTAGAAGAACATAGCAAGGATTCTGTAGCTTTCTGTTACATTAGTCCATTTCTGCTACATTACTTAATTTCTCTTACTTTGAAATCAGTGCAATGGAAATGGCAACAAATGTTGCTTGAAGAAAGCAGAACTCTCCTCTTGAGGAGTTGCTATGACTGATGCATTCCTACTGTGATAATGACAAAGCTCATCAGCCCAGGTCATTGTTTAGTGCTGAACTATGGCCCGGAGCTTAGACAGGTTCCAGACACCAACTGTAGGTATATAAACATCAAACTTATTCTGTGTCTGAGGGAAGGAAGGCCTTTTCTAAAATTTCAACCCCCTTTCACTGCCTGTTGTCACAGGATAAAAATCTCACCACTGTGTTGTCAGGCCTAAACCAAATGCCAAGTTTACGTAGTCTTTTGCTGTGCAAAGCAGAGCAATTTAAGTTGTAACTCAGGACATATATTACACACATAGTGTATATTTAGGGAGAGTTTCTGCTCAGACTGATTTGCATTCCCAAAGCCTTGCACAACAAAAAAGCCAAGAGATTGGATAGCACAGGCTCTTGCAGTATCACCTGTGAGTAATACATAGCATGGCATAGAGCCTTCACAGTTCACTGACTTCTAACCAAGTGGTTTCTTTGTGCAGCTTCTCACCGGTGCTTTCCTGTTTCCTTGCTCATATACTCGTTGAAAGCATCCTAAAGAGCATGCAAAATGAGGCAAAGTTTTACTGAAAACATGAGTGAACAATCCCTCTAATTTTCTGCTAAGCAATAGTCTGCCATAATTTGTTTATAGTTTTGGGTTAATTTCTTTCTATCAGTTTCATACAATGCCAGTTTTTTAACATAAAAAACATAGAAGAGCATTTTTCTTCAGTGTTTGGTTTTAAAGAGTAAGTGTAATCCAGAAACCTTATATGATACTCCTTTAAAATTACAAGTTCAGGTTTATTTGTGGTCAGGCTTAAAGGTCATGAATGTATAATTCAGTGGTTATAGTACCATGTAATTTTTTCTTTTGCATTCTTTCGTGTCTGTCTCCTTTAATGGGAGAGTCATGGCTGTTAGGATGACACATGTTGCCACACCTGACAAAGTTTTGAGTTCTTCTCCACCTCTTTCCTCCTCTATCTCCCCTTTGCACTTGTTTTATAAGCTAGAACCAGCATTAAAGTCTGCCAGTCTTTTATTCTTTTCCCAGGCCCCATTAGTTCCTTCCCCTCCTCTTTCAGGAAACCACAGTTATTCAGCCTAGGGAAGACTAAGAGAATTTCCAATTTCAAGTGTTTAACAATTATAATTTGGGAAAACCCCCAATTATGTACTTACGATTCTTTCAATTTTCTGTCTGGGCATTAATTTTAGTGTAAACCTAAAACCAAAGCACAGTCTTTTTGCTAAAACATTACAAAAGTGTTTCTGTTGTGGCTCTTGCAAGCAATACTCCTGTTTCTACATCCAAGCATCCCAACCAATGTTTTAGAATAGGAAAAGCCAGTGGAGCCTGTGCAGAGTTATAGGAACATCTTCTGCTCTTCCCCCTCTGGCATTTCTGTCTTGGTGGAAGGAAGCCATTCGATATCCTCCTGGTGAGGAGTAACTTTGCTTCCAAGTGCAAAAAGGATGCAAGAACACCGAGTCAGCATCTCATTTAAGCTTAAAGGGTAAATTATACCTGAGTGACCTGATTGCCTGCTCATCCCAAGTCAGTCATTCCAGCACAGGGAGAGCAGGGGGTGTCACTGGGCTTGCGCAAGGACTTTGACACACTCTCTCATAACGTTCCTCTGGCCAAAGGGAGAGGTTTGGACTGACCTGAGTGGAAAAACTGGCTGAATAGGTGGGCTCACAGATAGAGATCAGTGTTTTGAAGTCTAATAGGTGGACAGTGAGGTTGATTTTTGAGGTGGCTGCTGTTAAGCACCTTCATCAGTGAAGTGGGCAGTGCAATAGAACACAGAGTCATCAGGCTTGTGTGTGACACCAGCTAAGGAACAGACAGACTGACAAGCTGAGATAAGGACAAAAGGACAGATCTTTTCACTCCCTTTCAGTGGTGAAAACACTTGTCTTGAGGACAACCAGATGTAGATTGTATTGTTGGGTTTGGTGTTGGTGTTTAGTTCCTCAACCTTTTGATCACAGAATTGGTGGTTATTGCACAGGTGAATTACAGGTCCAAGCGCAGCCAGCAACTGTCTTCGTGCAGGTTGGACAATATGGGAAAACCACAGCCTTTATTTGGATCTCACTGCAGAAGGAACTTGTATTCCTGGCATGCTGTTTAATACCACTCATCTTTACCCTTTTCCTTAGGGATGTACCATAGTGGTTCCAGTAGTTGCCCACAGTTTCAACTTTTTAACACAGTTGTTCATTTCCCTTGGTCGTTTCCTTTCTGAAAATGTATTAACCTGGAGAGAGGCTGACAATAGGAGTGAGGCTGAGCTTGGATAAGATTCTTTGGCATGCAACAGGTATAATTCCTGTAAACAGTGTTGGAGGGTTTATAAACTTTTCATTAATGAAACCTGAAGCAATGCTACTTAACTCTGAAATTTCATTGCATTTAAATGCTACTTTTCTAACTTGCTATGTTGGTATTTTGGCTGTTTGATTGTTACAGACCCGCTCTTTGCTGGGAGTATTTGAAGAAGATGCTGCTGCAATATCCAATTACATCAATCAGTTATTTCAAGCCATGCACAGAATATATGATGCACAGGTAGAGTTCATGAAATTCTTGAATGCATTATAAAGCTTTTGAACCACATTTCATGTCTCTTTCTTTTTTTGAAATTATTATAAGCAATACGGTTTTTTTAACTTCCACATTCTTTAAATGTAGAAGCGAAACAAAGTAAGAATTAATGATTGTTTTTCTGTAAGGGTGTGGTAAAGACTAAATTCTTGTGCTTTCTTTTGCAACAGAATTTCTTATGACAAAAGGGTTTTCTGGTCAAGTAGTTCTGTTGTATTTCCCAAGCGTTTCTAAAATGTTATACACACTAAATGATCTTGGTGTATATAATAGTATGTACCAAGTGGGAGATTTTTTTGCCCACAATATATTCATGTTTCATTCATTGTCTATAAATAACTGCACTTTTATGCCAGACAGAATCTATCTTGTGTGGTTTTCTGAACAATTGAGTTTATGGCTGTATTTTTAATTTGTATATACTTGAATTGCTTGACTTTTTTACTGATTTTACTTTTTTGCCTTTTCATCATCAGAATGAATTAAGTGCAGCAACTCATTTGACTTCAAAGCTTCTGAAGGAATATGAGAAACAGGTACTTTGTAAATCATTGCTGTCTTTATGTGGTCAGGACTGTGTATTTCTGTAGTCTTTTATCTTCCAGAGCACAGTGTAGAATGTGTTTAGGTTTGGTCCATACAAAATGAATTGCTGTGGTTGGTGGTTCAAACCTTTGCCAAAAGAATCTGCCATTTTTATATTAGTTCTTCCAACTAAACTGGAATTAATTCCTCTTACATGAAGAATATTAATAAGTTCTGAAATATTTTACTTTTGGATCAGTGTTTTGGGGGTTGCTTAGGGTGGTTTTGCTTTGATTTTATTTTATAAACCTGTTTACTGCTGGATGCTTTAATTTTACTAGTCACAAAGAGAAGAGATTGCATAGCAATTTCCAGTTAACAACCGTAATTTACTCTGGGAGAATAATTCCATCTCTGAAAGCAAAGACTATGGAATCCATTACTTTCTTCATTGGGAGCCTGTACTTTTGAAGGATTCCCTATTTGTGGCTTTGCTGATGGACCCCCTTTTCTGAGATGCACATTAAAACCAAGAAATTTACTTCTTTTAGGGGGCTGCTGCTCCCTATCCTCCTTCTGCACCTAATGAGGTGAACAACTTCAGTGTATCTTAACTGTATAATGTTTTAAAATAATGGAATACCTAATATATTCATAGACATGATTAATAGTTTTGTGAATGGCAGGAAACATTGCCAACAACATAACTGTTTTTGTCTTCTCTCAGCGTTTCCCATTGGGGGGAGATGATGAAGTCATGACTTCCACTCTGCAACAATTTGCAAAAGTGATTGATGAGGCAAGTGCTTCCATCTATTTGCTTATATTGTCACGTATAGACTTTAATTTGCTTCATTATTCCAGCCTTTTTTAAGACAGTCGGTACAGAAATGGCATTCATTGGTCAACAAGGTAACACTTAATTGTATATTGCAGCATCTATTTAAAGTTATGTAACCTGAAGACAAAGAATTAATTCAGCAAAAAGAGGATACATTATTGGGAAAGAATGGAGTTCATCTTACTGTAAATACAGCCAAAAATATTGCACAGTGGCAGCTGGTGACTGTTTTTATGAGGGTATTTGTATTGCCTGATTTTGGTACCTGACTGATTTTAGGTACAGACAGCAGGAGCCTCCTGCTGTCTGTATTAAAGGCTGACTCTTAGGACAGACAACTGAGCACCATTAAGAGCTGAATCAGGATGTTTGCTGTGACCCAGCTCCTCACTTTTAACCCTACTTAAACAGCATTTTGGGAGGAGGAACATATTTTGTTCTACCTCTGTAAACTGTGAAAGACAGGCTGTGAGGTGGCTGGAGAGAAACTGGAGAAATAAACTGAATGTGTGAGGCCATCTTTAGACATGATCCAGTAACTTGGAATAAGGTTTGAAAAGTTTGGACAAAAACTAAACTCTAAAGTTTAGTCTTCTGTAGATAACTAGTGGTGAGATCTGGAACCTAGAAAAAATTAGCTGCAAAAAAAGGAATGTGCAAAATGATGTTTAAGTTATGTAGTTTAAGTACATGTCATTTTTGAGTGACATTGATGGCAACCTACCATGATTGGATCTGGTCTGAGCACTGTTTTCCTAAGATTTTGTTCTTTTTCTTGTCTTTTTCAGCTCAGCTCTTGCCATGCAGTACTTTCAACTCAGCTTGCAGATGCAATGATGTTTCCTATTACCCAGTTTAAAGAAAGAGATCTAAAAGGTAGAGGACTTGACCAAATATTGCTTTTTATCTACAGCAGCAACAATAAAATGTAGCATTTAATCTCCGTAGCTCTTGTTTCACTAAATAGAATACACCACTTATTTTTTCAGCTCTCAAAGTATGCATCTCCCTATTTAAAAAAAAGTAAGTTATTTCTATTAATGAGAGTATTACAGTTGAAGAACTTAACACTATTATTATTTCAATAAAAGTATTACTTACATTATGGAAGCACTTATCTTCTGTCCAAGATGACCATTTTGCAGCTACTGAAAAACATTAGGAAAGAATAATTTTTCAGATAATTTGCATTTTCAGGAAATACTTGTGTATATTTTAATACCATGACATCAGTGTAATTGCTGGACTACACTCAAAGGGCAAAGTGCCAAGGTTGTAGTACTTACTATATTAAGAATTAGTGACATGGTTCTTCAACCCTGCTGTTAGTACAGGTGACTTCTTATGTGCAGGCATAAGGTGCTTCCAGCTTCTGATTTTTGTGACAGTTGTGTCTTATTCTGCCTGGTTTAAAATAATGTATGTGTGTGATTATGATAGATTTTACTCAAGATGATGAAGTGAATAGATTGTATGGCAAAGAGACTTTAAATACAAATTATAAGATTTAAAACCAGAATAACTTGAGTATCCCTGTTGTGAACATTCTAGAGTGGGTATACCTAACATATGAATGTCTTAAGTCTAAATGGAAATAAAAATTTCAAGTCTTCCATAAGTCTTCTAACTGTTTATGAATCTTGGAAAATACTTCTTTGGCAGTAGTTTGCTGCAAAATTATAGATTAAACAGATTATGCTTTTTGAGCAAGGGATCATGAATATCTCAAGGCTAATATTGCTTCTCAGAACCTGGAAAAATCCCCTGTTAGTCCTCACTGAGCAGCATCCCTGAGGCAATAATCGCGGAATAGATTTTCCCACTGGAAGTTTTCTGCCACCAGCTGGTGTAGTGTGCAATGACACCATACTTCTTTCTGGATTTCAAAGGCATTTCCTGGACAGCTTTTCCATGCTTTTTTGTATTTGCTTTCCCATAAAGTTGAACACAGCTTTCTGTTTGTTTATGTTGTAATATGACACAAACCACAGTCAGGATCAGAACAGGTGTAAGATACTGTGCTGCTTTCGGTTCCCTGACACGGGGAGACTAAATAATCAGCTAGAACATGGTTCATTTTAGGGAGGAGGAATCACAATGTGTTCTGGGGTTGGATACTTCTCATATCCTGTGCTTCACTTCCCCAGCTCAAACCAGAACTTAGACTGGTGACTCATTTGTGTTGATAACATCTTTCACAGACTTTTGAAAAGGAGCTCCTCTTTACATTATTACAGTGCAGTATTTTTTTTGAGCCAGCCAGCCACAGAAATGACACCCAGGCCCCAAGTAGGAGCAGACTTTCCTGGTCCCATAGTGCCTGTGCTGGTAACTCAGTGTGGTACAAGGTGTTCACTACAACTGCTTGGTACTTAAACATTACATGAGAAACCTTAATATATGACTGTTATGTTAATAACAACTCATTTAAATTGTGGTATGTTGTTTTGTAGAGATCTTAACTCTAAAAGAAGTTTTCCAAATTGCAAGCAATGGTAAGTGTAAAATACTTAATCTTATAGATATTACAAGGCAACAGTATTGTAGATTGCTTATTCAGAAAACTAGTGGAGTTAATCCTGTAGGCTTAAAGGGACTAATTAAGGTGTAATTTGTTTCAGTGATACTTAGCCACTCAGATGTCCTTGGTTCACTTGTAAATCCCTGGTTCGTGCACTGAAGCATTAAGGCAAATTGACAGTGTTTTTTACAATACTTAAACTGTATATATGATTATTAAATAATGTAGGGTTATGCTACCAAAATTACTAAAAATAGTAAAGTGCTAGCTCACTTACTAAAGTCAGGACTGGATGAATAAACAAACTTTACCTCCCTAAAATGAGTTTGATAGTTCTCTTCCCTATTGTCAGAAGTTATTTTTTTTAGTTCTGCTATATCCTCGTAGAGAATTTATTATTTAAGTAAAGATTATACTTCTCTCAGTGTAAATTGCTTCATTACATTAGCAGCAAAAAAGACTATATACAGGTTTTCATAATGTAAAGTTGTCTCTACAGAAAAATTCTGTCTTTGAGGAAGAGTAGATGTTTAGGGCAGTTTGTAACAATTTGGCGACATTCGTGTCTTGTTGGAATCTTTCCTTGGCCCAGGTATTCATGGCAGTGAAATGGTTATAAACAGACAAGAACAGTTCCTGAAGGTGTTAATATGACAGAACTTTGCAATCATTTGTCTGTCTAACACAGTGATATAAAAGGATTTCTGCTCTGTTTCATAAGTCATTAGTTTCTCAAAATGATCCTAAATTCTCTCCCGATTGCAGACCACGATGCTGCCATTACCAGATACAGTCGGTTGTCAAAAAGAAGGGAAAATGAAAAGGTTTGTAAAACAAAATATTTAATATAAAGATTTTTAGAGGAGATGAGAAATAATTTTAATCTTATATGTATTTGTGATACAAGACAGTGTATGGCAGATTCCACCTGACATTTGATAGTTCATGTTTTAGCAGCCTAGACAGAAAAGCAGGTTTCCCCAACACATACCTATCTGGTAAAACTGATAATGCTTTAGGGTTAAAATTGTGATGTCATATTCAATTTGTTTTTGAAAAGAAATAACCATACTTTACATGGAGAAAAGAATGCTGTATTTGTTTTTCATGTATCTCGTCTATAAATTAGAGAAGCAGAATTGCAGAGTAAAATATGCAGTTGCTGGTGATAGAGCGTAGAACATGACTGTTGTTTTTCCATGCTGTCTATAAAGCTGTCCAGAAGGCATGTGATCAATGCCAAGTCTCAAACATTCCTTTTTTCCCCTCTCCTGTCTGTGGCTCTTCAGATCAAGGCTGAAGTTACAGAAGATGTATATACTTCCAGGAAAAAACAGCATCAGACTATGATGCATTATTTCTGTGCATTAAATACTCTCCAGTACAAAAAGAAAATTTCTCTGCTGGAACCCTTGCTAGGATACATGCAAGCTCAGGTAATGTCAGATTCTGAAACCTGTAGGTCTGAAAGAAGATGTAGAAGTACTTCATGAAGGTTGATGTACTGAAATCCATTGCAAGATTTTGTACTGCCCTCCAAGGAAGGAAATGGAGAAAAAGACCTACCCCATCCACTTCCCTGTAGCTGCCACAGCTGCTGCCAGGAACAGTCTTCAGCCAGCACTAGTCATGAATCCCATCATGATATGCCCTCACTTCCATCAGAGAATCTTTCAGGAAAGCCTGGGTGACAAATATAAAGGTTAATTCTACCCCAAAACCCAGATGGCTGAGTTTGATATACTGCCTAAATTTCATTGCTGTGTCCTTGATTCTCCTAATGGGAAGAGCTGAGTAGAGCTTTCATGCAGGAGAGTCCCCATGGAATTGACCTCCTCAGTTAAATTCATTCCCATGGCAGCTATTCTGAAATGACTTAATCATCAAAAGTCACGTCACTACCATTTTCAATCAAGGGTGTGGAAGAACTTGAATGCTAAAAAGCATTCTGGCTTGTTTTTGCTTTATAGAAATAAGTTCATTATTGGTTTATTTGAGGACAGGTGCAACAGAAAGTACAACCATGGTAAAGTTCTTTGGAGAGACTTAATTTGTATTTTCAGAAGTGTGTCATCAAATATGGGGGGTTTTTTTAGAAGTCAAACTTCCCAGCATCTGGCACTGCCACAGTGACCTGAGCAGAAATTAACTTCTCACCCTGTCTGAAAGCTTTCCAAAGGCAAGGACTGTTGCTTCTTTTTCAGACTTTGCAGCTTGTATTTAAGAACCAAGCTCTGCATGTTTTGTGCAACAAAGTAGGTGGTGCAACCTGTTGTTCGGGTGCAACTTTTTGCTGGATCTAAGAATGGGAAGGGCAGGGCCATCCCCTGTGGCTTCCTGTTCTGAGATTTCTTATGGCTAAACTCAGTTTAGCTCTGTTGGGAATGAGAGATGAAAACAGATTTCTCTGAGAAACTTTAAGCTCCAATGACTTCATCAATTGTTAATGTAGTTTTATTAATTACTAAATTCTCCTTTTTTTTTTTTTAAAGATAAGCTTTTTTAAAATGGGTTCAGAAAACCTTACTGAGCAACTGGAAGAATTTTTGACCAATATTGGCACAAGTGTACAAAAGTAAGTTGTTTTTGTTGAATTTTGAACTTTCATCAAGACAATTATTTTTTCTGTTTCTACTTATTAATAAATTATCCTTGTTAATAACACATTATTTATCTTAGTGTTCGCAGGGAAATGGATTGTGAAGTAGAAAACATGCAACAAACCATAGAGGACTTGGAAGTGGCGAGTGATCCACTGTATTTGCCTGATCCTGATCCTACAAAATTTCCTGTTCATAGAAATCTAACACGGAAAGCTGGCTATCTCAATGCAAGAAAGTAAGACTAACTTGTTAATTAAAAATTCCAGAATATTTAATTTTGGGAAAGGAAAGCTAAAAAAGCTGAAGAATTTTTTTGTTGATGTTAGCTATGCTGATTTTACATACTTAGTTAATTAAGTCCCACAGGAGCTATTCTGTTTCTTTCTTTGGACTTCTTCACCTAAGTAGTATTAAATTCCTTGTTACACTGACATAGTGTCATTTGGATACAAAGCATAGTTATCCCCATTTTAGTCTAATCTTGCCTGAATTTTCACATCAAAACATAAAAAGTTTATGAGAATATAATTTCCCTGCATTGTAATGGGAAAGTAACAAGATTCCATCTCTCAGCTCTAAGCAAAATTTTGGAAATCTTGTTGAATGGTACAAAATACTTGGAAAACAGAAGTATCTTACATGACTAAGCTGGTTCTTAACACAAAGTTCTTCAAAACTTAGTCTTAGCAATATAAGTGCAGAGTTCAGAGGTCCTGTTGGTAATGCATAGAATTTGAATATGCATATTGTTTAAAGCAGTGCTGTGAAAGCTGTTCATCAAAACTGAAGTACTTATGCCTTCTTATTCTAAATTGTTTCACATAATTTAAGAAAGCAATTATTATCATTTTATACGTTCTTTGCCCAGCAATAGGTTTAGCATGAAAAAACCAACAGTTGGAGAGACCTTAATTTAGCTGTAACACTGACCTGAAACATGAAATGGGGAATGGTTTATTCCAAGTGACTTCCAGCTCAGCCGAGCTCCTAATCCTCTAACTGGACCTCTTTTTATCTTTTAGTAAGACAGGGCTGGTATCTTCTAGTTGGGAGAGACAGTTTTACTTCACCCAAGGTGGAAATCTGATGAGCCAAGCCAGAGGGGACGTAGCTGGGGGACTTGTCATGGACATAGACAACTGTTCTGTGATGGCTGTGGACTGTGAGGACAGACGGTACTGCTTCCAGATAACATCTTTCGATGGCAAAAAGTGAGTGCTCTGACACTGCTGTTTGCTGTGAGTAATGCTGGACTCACTAATTAAGAAAAGAAAGATGGTCTGCCTCTGGCCAGATTATAGCTTGATGTATTTTGTGGATATTTAGAAGCAAAATCTGAGATGTTTTAACTTCATGAAGTCTGGATTTTTGTTTGTAAGCTCTATAATGTAGCTGAATGGTATTTCAGAATAAGATTATGATAATCAATTTACAATCATGTATTATTGCATTTTGTGAGTACTTAAGTATTACATGGGCACAATTAGAACTTTGTTCTTTTTCTGTTTTCAATTAAATGAAAGCATAGGTCCCTCCCTTCCCCAATTAGATGCTGACTGCACTCAGCACATACACAGAATCTTCAGCCTTTTGTAACTTGTTCAGTGTACAAAGATAAAATTGTAGTTTCCTTGTTGAATGTATTTATGAGGCATTTTAAATAGACAGAATTGTCTTTTCCATTCTCCTCTTTCAGGTCTTCAATCTTACAGGCAGAAAGTAAAAAGGATTATGAAGAGGTAAGCTCATAGGAGGTTCACATGGAGCCCAGTGAGTTTCTGGTGTGCAGAAAGAATACATTTGTAAACCACAGTTGGACACTGCATATATTCCAGTTAGTGTTCTCCTTCAGGGAAAGGTTGAAAAGCCAGAAACAGGAGCCAGTGGTTTTCTAGAGCAGAGGGAGAAAACAGAATCTAGCTTGCAGATGCAAGAAATGGGCAAGTTCCTCAAAAGTCAGATTGAATCTTTATAATGTCTTGAGGAAACAATGTCATCTGCAGAACAGAATAATGGAGTACAGAGAATCCTGATTTTTTTTTTTAATTACTTAGAGTTGTGAGTTAGGCTTTCTTTAGTTTTGATCTTTAAGGTGCTAAAATAATTTTTTCAGGTAAGAAAGGTGTAAGGTAAGGTATGCAGATGGTAGTTAATTTAATGGCAAGCTGGATGTGCAGAATATTTGGCTCCCTGAAATTACAAAGAAAGTAGAAAAAGTGCTGAAACTAGCCAACTCAGGGATTTAATCAAATTTGTAAAAAAACATGACAAATTCATTTATTTTCTTTTTTCTTCCTCTTTTTCAGTGGATATGCACCATAAACAACATATCTAAACAGATATATCTAAGTGAAAACCCTGAGGTAACTATTAAAACTTATAGTTATCAGTAATATGTTAAGCTATAATTATGTAAAATTAATAGCATAGAATTAAGCCAAGTACTTCTTACATGTCTAATGTGAAGCTTTTCATGGTATTAATGCATGGAGTCCATTGTCTCCTTCATCTAAATGCTTATATAGAAAGCATTAAAAATACATAACCTTTATATTTGGTGTAGCCTTTTGACATCTTCAAGGGCCTGTATTTGTGTATGACACTCTTTTAAAAAATAGTATCACAAATATTCAAATGGATACATTTAATTTCTACTAGAGGGAAGTGACAATTTTATGAATATGAAGCTTATAAACAGAACAATTTTGTAGAAAAACCCCTGATCTTCCAGGCTGAAATGGAGTGTGTCACTCCAGTTTTTGGTTTGGGAACTAAATATAACTTTGTAGATAATACGAGTACCTGGCTGTCTGAGTTAACTGTACAGATGGGAAGCAAACCAGTGGAGTGCAGAGCTCGTTTCTGATGAAGGTAGAGCACATTTCTGTTGAAGGTAGAGCTGAGGTTCTGTTTAGTCCTGGCATAAAGAGGTTCAGCCCCCTCATATCAGTGAAGGGGGGTGTGTGTTCACACCTTCTCCTCACTTCCCAATGGCTTCGTAGCCATTCTCATTTTCTGAGTCATACACTCCCCAAAATATTGCTTCATTGTTGTCTCCTGCACTTTCTCTCTCCAAAAATCCTTTCCTCAAGGACTTTCTCTATTGGCTCTACCCCAGGAAATGAAGGCATCTGCATTAAATGTTGATCAGAATTAGTGATTTCAATGAAAGATTAAAATGGAATTCAACTGTAAATGGTCTGTCATTTGCTGAAATAACTGTTATGTAGTTCTTAACTGATAGTTCTTAATCTTCGTGGGGTTTAGTTTGCAGTTGAAGGCTGCATTTCTCAAATGAGATTTTTCTTTTTTTCCCTGGCTACATTTGCTTTTTTTTCCAGGCTTATTATTGGGACTTTTCTCTCATTTTCTCTATTTTCCCTCTATTTTTGCTATTGCTTTTATTAACAGTGACAGTATTGTAAAGCAAGAGCGTTCACTTAAATTGAGGAAGTTAACATCAGGATATGTGTTACAGGAAAAGCTAGAAGAAAATACTGCAGCTGTGTAGTGAAAATTTAGGAATGCAAGATTCTCACAAAGAGTTGGGTTTATAACTTCTGTCAATAAGCATATAAATAAAACTAAAATCTGAAAGCTTATTTTGAGAAAAATGTTTTCAGTTATCTTTTCCTATCTCTGCCTGGCAGGAAATGGCTGCTCGTGTCAATCAGTCAGCCCTGGAGGCTGTCACTCCATCTCCCTCCTTCCAGCAGAGGCACGAGAGCATGAGGCCAGCTGTGTAAGTGCATGAACTAAGGGTCATTGGAAGAGCACATCCATAAAGAGAATCCTGGATAAAGTTCCAGGGGGAAAAAGATACCCAAACAAATCCACAGAAGTTTTTATGTTCAGAACTAAACCTTTGATAGACTCGAGGAGGATTTCCCACACTCACCTTCCTGACATTGTTCAGCATCCATTGTTCCAAGCAATCCTGCTGCCACTGGCTGACAGCTTTGGTGGTTGCATCGTATGTTTGGTTTGTTGTGTGATTTCAGAATGAGAGTTTTCGACTCCTGGAAGCAGACCTCAGATTGTATTGATTATGTATTAATGTTAAAACAATCTGATGCAATTATTAATGCAAGTAGTAACTTTAACTTACTTAAATTTGATAGGAACATAGACTCTGTTTTTGTTTACTGTACCTTGATCTTCAGGCTTTTAGTTTTTGTTTTGTTTTACATCTAAGTTCTAGAATATTGCATTGGTCTCCTCTGTGGTTTAACTATCCCTCATTTTGATGGTTTTGTTGTAGACAATCTCGTCCTCCTGCAGCTCGTACCAGCAGCACAGGGTCACTGGGATCTGACTCAGCAGCTTTATCAGCACTTTCCTTGGATTCACTTGTGGCCCCTGACACTCCTATACAGTTTGACATAATATCTCCAGTTAGTGAAGATCTGCCTGGCCAAGCAAAGTCTTCAGGGCAATCGAGCAGGTAGGATATGGAGAGAGAAGGAAAAAATTCCTGAGGTTAATGTTACTAATTCAAACCAAGAAAACCACATTTAAACTGCAGCTCCAAAACACACATTGCCTTCTCCCTGACTCATGTCACAAAATGTGCAGTGGCCAGTGAAGCAAAACAATTTGTTTAATTGTTAAATAGAATTGTTAAAAAAGGCTTAATTACATGCACTACAGTCAAGGTGTAGTTTTCTGGTTTGGAGCAGCTTTTCTTGCTTTAACAGACAATGCTTTTATTTATTGATTTATTTTAATCTTTCGGTTTTACAAAGTATTTTCCTTTCCTATTGCTTGCTCACCCAGCAGCTTGGGTTATTTCCTCTTGGAAACTCAAGAGAAATTTGGTAGCCCTGCCTCCAGGTGATGATGGCATACGATGACACTCTTCTTAACCTGCAAGGTGAGTGAAAATGATCTAGGCTTCTGGAGTGATTTCATAGACAGACAAGTTAAAATTATCTAAGAGTTCATCCCAAAACATAAATGCAGTTTCTCCCCTTGTTATTATTTTTGAGTGGGAGATTTATTACAAACCTAAGACCTGTAAATCTGCACTGCATTTCTGGAACTATATCTACAAAATTCAGATATTAAGAAAATGCTTTTGCAGATCCAGCTGCTCTTAACAATAACAAAAAAAAGCCAAAGAGCTGAAATGATATTCTAGTCACTATAATGTGTTATATCCCCCCCCCCGAAAAATATTTGAAACTTGAATAACATAAGAGTTAAAATTATATGTTCATGTCATCAGTTACAATTCTTTCCAGAAAATCATGTTTTTCATAGCAGAAATGATAGAGTTGTGCTCAGCATTTTCAATTAACCACCACTTTCAATGAAGCACCACAGTGTTTGTACAGATAGGCAACGTGCTACTTTGAAAATATTAATTATTAAAAAAATAAAAATACTTTCCTTCATTTCTAATACTGATGACAAGTATTCACATTTTATTTTTGCGTTTTGAGAGATCCTGTGAGATTTTGCTTTTACTATTGCAGTTTAATCTTAAATGACAAGAAAAGTTTGAGTGGTAGAAGATCCTTACAGAAAGAATTTGCCTTTAGTGTATTTACCCAGGTCAATTTAATGGGAAGGTTCTTGATTGAATCCATGTTATCTAAACATTGTAGCAATACCAGCTTGACTTCAGAGTTCTATTTAGAACAGTTTTTTCCTCCTAGTTCTGGAATTTATGGTTAGAACACTATTGAGAGGTCACACCTTCATTACTCCCAGATAAAACCTAATTAGAAGTTTATTGAACCATTGCCAATAGCTTTTCAGCTATCAGTTAGGCAAAGAAAAAGGGTGATATCCTCTTTACAATAAATAAAATGTCCCCATTTCCTGTGCTCTTTTCAGCATTACTTTAGTGCTCTTGAAAAATGAAACTTGGAAGCCTAGAGTATTTTCACTTTTCTTTGTAACCGATGGCAATTCTGTCTTTGAGAGCCAGAAATAGCCACATTTCTCTTGACCTTCTAGGAGTAAAACCCCAGTGATGTTTTCAGAAAGCTGCATTTGAAACAAACCCAGTGACTTCTCTTCAGTAAGAAATTCAACACCTTGAAACAGTGATGAGAAGTGGGTGCTCCTACAGAGTTCTGAAAGGACCAGCTTTTGGTTGTGCTTCCTGAAGCTGTTCTGTGAAATTTCATCCCCTAAAACTACACCTTTCCAAATATTAACAAGGGTTTGATTTGGGCTTAATTCAAATATAAAAAAAAATACCATGTGAGCAAAACTTTCTATGGCAGCAATAGGATATTTGTCCCATAATGTGGGCCCTCAAATACACCAATTTATGGCTCACTCCTGATTAAATCGCCTGTTCTGGTGATTGACCACACTCCAGATTCATATTCCTCCAGATTACAAGTTTCTGAAATCATTACATGTTGGTATTTGACACAGCATGAGACTACTACATTATCCATGAGTGGTTCCTGTAATCTGACTCCTGGTTTAATGTTTTCATTTTTTAATAGACGCACAAATCCTTTTGGTGAATCTGGAGGCTCAAAATCTGAAACAGAAGGTAAAACAACAATTTTATTTCAATGCAATATAAAAATAGAATTTGAAATAAATTTTCTGGTTTCATCTCTAGTTTCTGTCTTCTAATTTAACACCAATTTTAGAATGCTTAGTTACATTGCAATGTATTTGACCAGTCAAGCGAAATCATTATACTGTCTGAAAATCTGTTGTAAAAATAATTCATTGCATCTTTTGTGTTCATTAAACCAAATGAGAAGATGTATGACATGCTGTTTGGTAACTTTACCTCTAATTGCTGAGTATGAGCACTCTTCTTTTTAGGAGAAGTTCAGAGTTTCCCTGACTGCAGTCCAGCTTGGGTTTTGAAGGGAAAACCCAAAATGGAGTTTGCTTTTTTCAATACTTTTCTTTTTTCTTAGATTCAATTCTTCATCAGTTATTTATTGTAAGATTTCTTGGCTCCATGGAAGTGAAGTCTGATGAAAGCCCAGATGTTGTTTATGAAACAATGCGTCAAATCCTTGCAGCTCGTGCCATCCATAACGTTTTCAGGATGACAGAATCACATTTGTTAGTCACCTGTGACTGTTTAAAGTAAGTTTTGCTTCCTGAATTCTACTCATGTTTATTTACAGAATGATCTTCTTTCACTTTGGTAAAATTTACTTTCTGGTTTGTCTTTAAAACCGAATTTTTAGGTTAATTGATCCACAGACACAAGTTACAAGACTACGAGTAAGTAACTTTACATTTTAAGATTAATACCCAGCAATGTAATTCTTCTACTTTAAAAATATTATTACATGATAGCGAAAACTCACTGTTAGCATGAGATTTCCAGCCAAATTTCCACTGAAATTAGGAGACTAATGCAGACATGTAAAAATAGAGAGAAAGACACCTGCTAATCAGATTTAAGGGGAGTGGTTTCAGTAGGTCAGTTTGGCTTTTGAAACCCCTCCCCCCAGTGATCTGAGAGGGTAAAATAGTAAAGAGAGAACATAAAGGTTGGAATCACATGAGTTCTGAAGTCCAAAAGGGTTTGTCTGATGTTTTGTTTTGTTTGGGGTTTTTGGTTGTAATGCATAACTACATTGAGGGTGTTGAATGGTTTCTGGTTTGCTCTCTTTTTTTTCTAATGCATTATAAAAACGCACTTGAAAGGCATAAGTGAAATTCTTGTCAGGGTATCAAATAAGGCCAGCTTCATTCTTCAGTAATAGCAGTCTTTATTTTTCATATTTCAAAACTGTTCCCCCTCCCCCTCTTTATGCACAATTTATGGTCTGTCATTTAATTTCTTTGCATTTTTGAAAACATTCCATTTTTTTGGAGGCTCTGAATGACTTAAATTTCCATGAAGGGAAATTTTAAGGACATGAAAATGTCTTGATATTTCAAATAGGCCTTTTTTCTTTCTTTACCTTTGTGACTTTAACTTCAAAAGTGCCCCAAAGCTGTAATCTTTAACAGGTGAGATACATCGACTGAGGGCACATCCCCTGTGCTAAATGCAAACATCTAAGATTAGGAAAAACTCATCCTATCAGTTTATAACAGCTGGAGTAGGGGCTTTCAGAATTCTAAAATTTATCCTTTGGTAAGTCTTAAAAAGATACATTTGAAGTCCACTCTCTTTTAGGAATAGGAATGCAAAATAGTTTTCATGTAACAAAGTAACAAGGGGATGTGGTTTGGTTGGTTGGGGTTTTTCTTTCCTTTTTTTTTTCCTTTTTTTTTTTTGTTTTGCTTATATAATTCAGGAGAGCTGAGCTGTTGGCAGGTTTTGGGGAAGTAGTGCCTTTACCTGGCACTAAATATTGGAAGCTTAGTCCCAAATGTAACTAGTAGGAATGATTAAAGGAAAATAAAAAAAAGGAATGTACCACATTTAGGAAGATGACTGACTTGCTCTGCAAATGTGGTCCCCATTTCTTACATGGAGCATGTTTTTAGAAGTTTGCCTGTCTTTTGAGTAATTTAATCCTTGCTATCTCATCTACTGTTTGTGTTCCGTAGTTACATGTTTGGTCAGGTTGTAACTTCTTGTGCTGTGATTGTGCATTTATGATATTGAAGATAATTAATGTGAAACCTCATCCAGAAAATATTTGGACCCAGTTTTAATCTCTCCACATTTGATCCTCTTGGCAGTTCCCTTTGCCCAGTGTAGTTCTCTATGCTACACACCAGGAGAATAAACGCCTGTTTGGATTTGTGCTTAGAACCTCAGGAGGGAGAGCTGAGAGCCGCCAGACTTCCATCTGCTATATATTTGAATCAAATAATGAAGGGGAAAAGGTATTGCTGATGGTTATAACTTGTATCAGTTTTGAGTCTGACATGGATTCCAAGATGTTAGATCCATTCAAGCTGTCTGAGGGATTGTTTGTTAATTTACCAAAAAACAGTTAAACCTCTCAGTTTAACTACCTGTAAGTGCTTTAATATGTTGTTATATCTAACTGGGGATGCTGGCTTAATTGTAGAGGCATTTTGATTAGCCTTTTTTTATTATTTCCTATGTGTTTTGTGTTTAGATTTGTGACTCTGTTGGACTGGCCAAACAGATAGCTTTTCATGCAGAACTGGTAAGAATCTTTTCCTTTTCTATATACTTGTGAATGGAAGGAAGAGGGCATATTTAATGTGTAATAAAACATATTCTGCAAGATACTTACAGATGCACTAATACTGTTGTGTAGTGTAAGGGATTTGTTTCCTAGGATTTAAACTCAAATAAGAAAGACTGACCAATGTCTATGTGGGACAATATTCAGTATAGGATTCAGCTTGCTACCTTTAACAGCCATACCAGTCCTGTAAAAGAAGAATAATCGAAACAGTGATGTCACAGTCTTGAGCAAGCTCATAGCAATCAGTACTGTATGAAATGTCTCAGGTTGTTACTTACTTTATTTACATTTTTGCCCTTCAGGATCGAAAAGCAACAGAAAAGCAGAAAGAAATTGAGAGAGTCAAAGAGAAACAACAAAAAGAACTGAATAAACAGAAGCAAATTGAAAAGGTAAGTTTCATCATTATTTCTTCACACTAGGTTTTTTCTATTTCCTTTCTTTTGCAGTTTTGTACTCCATGCTTCACTATCATACTCTTCAGTACAGGTTCATAGAGCATTATGAAGTTAATTATCATAAGTGTTTCCTGTGCGGATTTTGTATATTTTTGTATAGTAGTTTTTAAAAAGAGTTCTTTGAGGACATGAATGACAAAACATCTTTATAGGAATACTTAAGAGCAGTGCTTGAAGGAACACCTATCACAGACACAAAATAGTTTCATTTGCTGACGAGGGTTCAGTCACACAGGGAGGAAATGGGCTCAAGAACCACAAAATAGCTAAGGTTGGAAAAGATCTTTAAGATCACCAAGGCCAACCATTAACCCAGCACTGCCAAGCCACCACTAACCCATGTCCCTTAGTGCCACATCTACATGGCTTTTAAACTCCTCCAGGGATGGTGATTCCAGCATGGCCCTGGACAGCCCATTCCAGTGCTTGACAGTGCTTTTGGTGAAGAAATTTTCTCTAATATCCAATTTAAACCTCCCCTGGTGCAACTTTAAGGCCATTTCCTCTTATTGTATTGCTTGTTACCTGGGAGAAGAGACTGGTCTCCACCTGGCTACACCCTCCTTTCAGGCAGTTGTAGAGAGTGATAAGGTCCCACCTTGAGCCTCCTTTTCTCCAGGCTAAATAACCCCAATTCCCTCAGGTGTTTCTCACCAGACTTGTGCTGCAGCCCCTTCCCAGCTCCATTGCCTTTCTCAGTGTAGCTGAGGATGGTTGTTCTGGCCTGCTGTGCCCTGTGGGCTGTAGGTGCAGCTGTGTTAACCTGGGAGCTGTTCTAATAATGCAGCTACTGAAAGGTGAATGTTTTGGTTTCCTATTCAGTCTTTTCATTCCTTCTGTACAAAGCTGTCCACTGATAGTATTGATAATTTAGAAATCATAATAATGGTATCCTGTGTCAATTCCAGATGGCTTTAAGGGTAATATTCTTGTTCTGATTTCCCAACTCCCTCTCCTCACATTAGGACTTGGAGGAGCAGAGCCGGTTGATCGCTGCTTCCAGCAGATCCAACCAGAGCAGTGGAGAAGGACAGTTTGTAGTCCTGAGCAGTAGCCAGTCGGAAGACAGTGATTTAGGAGAAGATGGAAAGAAGAAGAGAGAATCCGAAGCCTAAGGCTGCCCACTTCATTAAAATTGGAATCGTGGATATATATGGTGAAAAGGCACAAGTTCTACAAGAAGTTAAATGTAGGTGGTGGGTCTGTTGTATTATAGAAAAGACTTCTCAATATATAGACCCTATTATGCCTTGATTTTTATTTCTCAGTTAAGTGATTTCCATTTTCCTGTCAGTATAATTTCTCTTCCGTATGCCAGATGAAGCATGGTGATGCTGCCATGTTTATTACAAATTTATGTTTTCTCAAGGCTTCTCTGCAGTATGGAAAAAAAATGTGGGTTTTTTCCCCACTTACTTCTCTGTGCAATTAACTGCTTTTGAAGCAAAACTTAAAACTCCCCTTGGGCTTCAGCAGTACATGAAACTCGTTCTATACACTGCACTATGGAGAACACCTTGCTGGAAACAGAAGTGAATGTCCAAATAAGACAGTGCTAAGCTTTACCCAATTTGTTGCACATAACTGTTCTTAGATTTAGAAAGAAAAATCCTTATTAACATCAGTGAGATGTGCAATAGTTCTAGACAGAAGGATCGTTTTTGTTTCGTTTTGCACTGTATGATATTGCATTGGGGTCTTTTTGGAGTGAATATAATGCTGAAAGACTTTTTTCAACAGGAGAAAAAGATACTGTCAGACCTAGATAAGAGCTGATGAGATGCAGTTGAACTTTGCTGCATGAGGAAAAGTATTCCTCATCAAATTATAGGAGTAATGTATATAGCCTTGTAGCACAAGTGCCATGTTCTTGGTTTTTCCCCAGTACTTGGAATAAAGAGCTGTAAGCCTTTGAGTTCACTTTTATAAAA